AAGGAAAGCTTGATGCAAAACAAAATGCATAACTTAAAATAGAAGTGTGTCAGGGAGTCTTTTGGGTTTCTGACCTTGCAGAACCTGACTTGACTCCACTAAGCGGCATATGTGTGGCTGGCACAAGTCACACTGAAGTTATATTTGAATGTCTCTATGTGTGCAAAGTGTAATAGACGGGTAGGTCTTTAACTTAACTCTGCGGGTGATCTCAGACTACTTTCAAAAACGCATTATTTTGCTGCACATTGGCGAGCTGTGGACATAAGCACATTCTAAATTTATGCCCCTAGCGGTGCAAGCCTTTCTAATTAAAGCAGCTCAAGACAGGGCAGCAAGGGTGCTGCATATGTGTGCGACACTGCAAAGGACCCAGGCTGGGTGTGGTGGGCGGCGGGACAGAAATAGCAGCTGGATTGGAGAGTGCCGTCTTTCATCACACACTGTGGCTCCAAGAGGAGCGGAACCTGTGAGCTTAGCCAAGGCCCGGGCCTGCTACTATCCAAGCTCAAGGCAGACGGGTCGCCTGAGAAGGGAGGTTAACTGTCTGGGCTGTTTCTTATCCTTATTTCTTTCTGTGTTAGATCTACAGCAGCGTGCACGTTTATTGGGGCCCACCTCACAGTGTTCGAGGCCTTTGATTTGCCGTGCTAACGAAATCAAACCAGCTATATTTGAAATCCTGGAAAACTGCAATCCAGACCAAAAGAGGTGGAGAAAATGTGATGGATTGCACTAAAATGATGAATGTGATTACTGGAGAAACAATACACTGCCGAAAAGAGAAAACTACATTTTTTAGGTTGAAGACTTACGAGGAGAGCTGAAGATTCCTCATTTATTGATCTTAACATACAAAATCAATTTCTATTCATTAATTACCGAAATTGGATACTAATTTCTGTAAACTCATGTTAGATGAAAGTAATTCAAAATAATGCATAGCTGGAAAATTCTTGGACAGTGTTTGGTGTAATTACCTTCTTTGAAAATAAAATTATACGTAATTAAGTTTCTTCCAGATGGAACAGAATGACTGATTAAAACACAGCAGTGCTAATGATGATGTTTGATTCCACTTATTTTGAACAGCTGACCAACACAAAACTCTGATTTTAATTTCATTTCATGCATAGAACATTAAACACATCCATACAACTGACATTTTTTTAAAAAAAATGCCAGGATATTGAGTTTTGGTGACTATTCCCTGCAAATAAGTAGAGGTTAATTCTTAAGTGAAAAGTAAAAGGAAAGAATAAAAATGTTTTGGCTTTATACTGTAGCTTCCAGGAGGTGTGTGAATTTCATGATGCAAAACAAGTACAGGACTAATAGTTTTTCTTTAACGAGTATGCACTCTCAGGCAAATCAGTCCTTTAACCTCCAGTTCACGACTAGAGAGTAGGGCTGAGTCTTCCTGTGCAAAGACAGGAGGCATGCTGAAGTGGTTAACAACTCTGAGCCGAAGATCATGAGCAGCTGTGTGCCCACGCGCCTCTCCCTCCCTCCCTGTATGTAAACACAGTGACGTCATAATGTGACCCTGAGAAAGGGCATGTGTGAGTATGTCAGAGAAAGAGGGAGAGAGTGTGTGTTCAAGCTCAGAAATGAAGTGTTTCGGCATTATCAGTAAGTTCAGAAACTATGTGGGGGGTGAGGGGTGTGTATGGTGGGCCTGACTCTTCTGATGCTTGATCTCTCTTTTACAGAGGAATTAGCAGGAATGACTGGTCATTATTATGTTTTACCATAAGACAGTTGGTCTCAGTGTCAGAACTGATGGCCTGATAAGAGTTTTCCTTTAAACCGGTCAGAAGGTCTAGGTCTATCTGCACCAGAACGGCAATTAAATATACTGGCAAACAACCTGATTACACAAGAATGCAATCTGAAGTTAGTGCTTTTCCACACACTGTGCATCTTCCCATGCATTTACCTTCTTTTTGTCCTGCTCCTAATTTACAATTTATCTCAGCAGTCATAACCATACAAAACATTATTTGTAATAAAAACCCATTCTTGGCATATTATCCAGCCTAATTAACAGCTCATTCTGTGTCGTCTTAAACAACTTGTTTTTCAATGCTTTCTGTCATTTTAAACAAAGGAGTTTAAAAAACAAAATATATCTTTGAAGATATTTTGCTGCTTTCTAAAAAAACCCAAAAAAGTAAAAAATAGAGAACATCCAGGCACTGTACGTAGGTAGGTATCAGTGATAATGGTTTCTTATTTCTGCTTCAACAAAGGAGTCCTACACAAACAAGAAACTGCAGTGCCTGGCAATATACCACATTTTCAAGAAAAATGAGCAATTTCTTGTAAGGAACTAATTTCCTGATTAAGTACATACATATTAATGACTAAGAACAGGAGGTAGACTGAAACATAGCATGATGGTTACCACTGATGCCTTATAGCTCCAGAGTGAACACAGGCCTGGGCACCTGTCTGTCCCCAGTTCTCATGTTCTGTCAGCACTAATATGCTAATATGATTCCTCTCACCTCCCAAGACATACAGGTTCAACTTGATTGTCTACTCTAAACCGTCCTTTCCAAGGGAAGGGTTATAATGAGTTTGTTCCCAGTGGTACTTATGGGGCTGCAGAGAAATATTGCAAAATAAGCTTGAATGTTCTCCTTGCATTTGTGATCTTTCTGATGTTCAGCTCTATACACCAAGAGCTGTTGGTATATGGAAAAAATAGCCGCAAACACAGCGTCCCTGGAACCTGTCTAAACTAGGCACCATGAGCATTCTGTATCAATAAACTAAAATGGTAAAATACCTTTCTTGTGATCTTAGGACGCTTTTGCTTCTGTAAAGCTGCTAGCATGCATCACTGTGATACCTTTTCAGAAGGGATTTATGCTTAGTTAACATGGCAAATGACAGAGAAGAAAAAAAATCATACCCAATGTACAAAAGCTTGTAACAAGTTCAAAATTATAAAAAGAAGAAAATGCAATTCACCATTGATCAGCATAATCAATGCAGTTGATCTGAGCAAAACTGTCCAACACCCTCTGTCAGTTTATATAATCCTGATCAGAAGATCAGCAGACATTTTTGAAGGTAAGAGGTTGATTTAACTTTGAAAGAGCAAACAGTCTAACAGTCAAAGTCACAGATCTGTTTTTTAACTAGTTGTAAACACCCATCATTAAAATTACAAACTGCTATTGAACCATATACAAGGGATGTAGCCATTTCTCAAGGTAGTACCATCATTATAACATCACACTTTTCACCTCTACTGTAAAGAAAACTCTCTCCTTTGCAGGCAACATTGAACTCAGATAGGAAGAGAACTTGATGAACTTGTCAGAGTGAGGGTGCTTTCTATAGTGCAGTTTCTCCCTACCTTAGACTCTGTCTACACCGCAGAGCCCCTCCTGTTCTGTCTACCAATGGGTGGCTTTCATTATTGTGTGTGTGTGTGCGCGCGCGCTGTCCTGGGACAGTCCTGCTCTCCAACCAATCCCAGCTTTTGGCCCAGGACACTGGGCTGGCTGCCATCCGCAGAGCCTGCCCACACGTCCGCCCGCCGCCCACCAGGAAGAGGAAATTAGAACCATTCCATCCTGTCGCAGCACAGCCACCAGAAAACAAGGAGGGAGACGGAGATCTCACACACACTCCACACATTCATTCTCTGCACATAAACTTAGGAAAGACAGCACTCTGAGACGGGCAGAAGTCTCCATTGTATTTACATGAAGAAGATACACAAACTATGTACACAGAAGATATACACACTATACAAACACATGCCACACAAAGTTGAGGCTGATATTCAAAAGGGCGGTGCACCTTAGATTTTTAACTGAAAAGCACAATCTTGTTTTTAGTTTTTAAAACGTATATCATAAAGGAGTTAGAAATGTGTAATATACAATATTTCATATGATTAAAATCTGCATTACCAGAGATATTACCATTACAATATGCTGTCCCACCAGCAGTGAATGTACATTGACGTACGTTTATTGATTTTTCAAGGTTCAAATATATCAACCTTTCTGAAAATTAAACCTTTATTGAAGCACTATCCATTGTGTTTTTTTTGTCAAACTTTAAAAACAAATGCTAATCACCATGTATTAGGACACACCCTGAGGAAAGACACAAGCACATAAACACACACAGACACATAAAAGAAAAGCCAAAAGAAACCACACAACTGTGGAGAGACTCAAACACGTACAGGGACAGAAACTCCCACACGTGCACCGACAAGATACAAACGCGCACACAGCACAGGCGCGGCAGAAGGAGTGGCCGGGCTGAGAGAGATTAGCTCTCCCGCCCTGCGAGCGCTCGTTAAGGCAGTGCTTCCTCTTCCTGGTCCCTCCCCGGAGGTTAAGTTTTGGAAAGCCGTCTGGCATGCCGAGGAATGGAATAGCACTTCACCGAAAGGGGGGTGGGGGACGCTGAGAAAACGGTCTTCCAGACACACAGCCCCTCGGTGCACACTAACAACCACAGTGCAGTCCTTTTTCGCTCAGCTATAAGAATACTTAACCCATTCCCCAGTCAAGACCAAAATGTAACTTAATTCAGAAGGTTCTACCTTCCCTAAGTATGGACTGAATTAGAAGCACTTTATTCGTTCTAGTTTAAACCTCTAAAATTGAGCCATAGAAAAGATATAAAAAAGTGTGCATTGTGCACACTGAATGAGTGGATTTTGATACATGACCTTAATCACACGGTGCTTTGAAAACTAAACACTGAATCCAGCTGCTATTGACAAGCACAACCTAGCCTATGAATTGGAGATTGCAGTTGATTGTTTCCACTTCTGCATCATAGCAACTGATTTACTTCAATGCAAAAATATCTAAAGGTTCTTTTCCTGAAAGATCAGCCTACTACCTGATATGACCAGTTCCCTCTTAAAATTCTTACATCCTGATGTGTCTGTAAATAGTATCAAATGTTCATCAATGATAATAAGCAAGAGTCACTGAATGTAGATAGTTTACACTTACTTTTTAAGCGGATCGATGACAGTCTTCTGGATCTGATTGACCTGTGCAAAAAAACACATAAAAGTCTCAGATCACATTCAGCACATGGCGTAAAGTTTAACACATCACAGTCTCTTATTCAAAGTAAATACTTCCAAAGCATAGGACTAGACTAGAATCTAATATTTGCTTGTGAATAAATAGAAGTTTTTACATTAATTTAGAGGTTTAATAGAATGCTCCAGTAGGTCAGTCATCGTTACTTGCAGGACATATATAAAATAAATTAGTCTTAACGTAAAATACTTCCAAACTGTCAAAACTAATTTCAAACTAAAATTTGCCATGCATTCCATTTCAAGTTATAAGAAAAAAATAACAAAATGGTCAAATACATGGGAACATTTAGAAGTTTGGTGTTCAGAAGAATGCTGATGCTGAGTATCTCTAACATATATTGGAAGTTGCTGAACACTCAGATACTAGAAGGAATCATAAACCAGCACAACAGACACCACATTTTCATCTGCTGTCCAATGCTGTGCTATCTACTGCTTGAGCAGAATATCATTACAGGAAGACAACTTCTATACATGTCTATGTCTAAGTAATGTGAGATTTTAAACTATTGCTCTACTTCAAATCTGATTGTGTTTTTCAAACTTAGTTTTCCCGAAACTACATTAAATTACAATGGGCTCAGAAGAATGATAAATCATTTATTACAGAAATCCTAAACATGAAGAAGTCCAGAAGTAAAATGACATGTCAAATAAAACTCCAAAAGTGATATTTTAAGATCTGTAATGTGCAAGAACTTCACCATAGCATAACCACTAACTGCTAAATCATATACAGTAATGCTATTAAACTGTTAAACATGAGTGCACAGTGAGGATTCTACTTCTGATAATCTTGGCAAAGAAACAATCAAAGATTGCGCTTTGATTTTTTTTCTTTTTTCAAATATCTTCCATGTCACCCAGATCCTAACAACAAAAGGGGAAAAAAAAACTTTCACGATGTTGACCCTTTTATTGTATATAAAGCCCTGCAGAAAAACCCCTGAATATTCATGCAGTACACAATACAAAAGAGCTGAACCGTCAGGGGACCGACATGAAAGAAGCAGCCAGTGATTTCAAATCCTGGAGAGGGTGGATTTGCTTTATGAGATGAAAGTTGTATTCATACAAACATTTTAACAGTCTAGATTATATTGCTGAAGGAAACGTTTTTAATCATCCTCATTTTTCTCCTTTTCTTGTTGCAAGTTTTGATTGGAAGGAAGAGTGAGCAGAAGCTGTCTAATACAGGCAGAGTCCTAAAGCCCATTGGGGTAGCATTATGATGGCAAGTAATGAACTTCCCAAGATACTGGCAGTATAGTAACAGTACAGCACTGAGATGTCTTATAGATCCAACAGAAAAGCAAGTTAGCAGGGCACATAAACAATATATATAACATTATATGAAATACTAAACAATAAATGAAAACATAAGTGACAAACTGTTGTATATCTTGGATATAATCTACCTTAATCTGCCTTAATGTTTTTTTTGGCATTTTGAAGACACTTCAATTTTATATTAATCTCAGTACTGCCATGGTTATAAAAAATAATGTGCTGTGAAAATCCTGAAGATTATTAAACGCTGTCAAATTTAATTACAACAATAACAAAATATATACCCCAAAGCCCCAATTATTACAATCCAACATGAATTGGGAACCATTGAACATATCTTTGTGACTTGACATTTTAACGACTACACTAACTGGGGCAACCCCATTTAAAGTAGAATTCTTCTCACAATACAATCATGTCCCTGAAAGTCTAGTCTTTGTTTTTAAATCGTCTCCACGTAGCACTAATGAACAACATGCCCAATATTTCCATTTTGCTGGAAATATGCTCCAGCGATAATTACATGTTGTGTTTTATGTGTGCATCTTCATGTCAAAGTTATTCATCGTAATATGGCGAAGCTGTGCAGGTACCTGTTATCATAACTGAAAAGAATATGTTTCCCCGACAGTAGGATCTTTGCACAACAGCAATTTTTTTTTTTAACATGGAAGGTCACCAACAACTTATCCTGGGAAGCTTGTGCACTTTGTAGTAGTACGACACAAGAAATCTTTTCCAAAAGCTTTTAATTTGCTGGAACAGCTACCTAGCATGCTAAATGACAGACTGAACATGACGCACCCCGGAGAATTGCAGCAAATGCACATAACTGGATCAAGCAGAGTACAAAATGAGAAGGCGTGCAAAAAGTCAAAAATTAAACACCTAGGGAATGCATTTTTGCTTTAGGTGAAAAAGGGGTGCAATTTTAGCATCACAATATATATTTTTTTCAGTCCATAGCTTCTTAAAATAAGTGGTTTTGAAGACACTGCATGCTTTAGAAAAAAAAAGAAAAAGACGGTCTTCAACATGCCTTTGCACTGTCACCCTTAACCCTTTCCAGTGCTGAAAGCCCCAGTCTCTGTTACTAGGTATATTCCAGTGAGGCTGCAGCATAGCTCGCAGCTAGGTATCTGAGTGCTGTCTGCATGAGTCACAGGTCAAAGGAGAGAAAAGCGCATTCCACCAAAATAAATATATATATTTTTAAAAATAAATCAATACCTACACAAATCACAGCCCTGAACCGTCCACCTCTCAACCATCCAAAGCAATTTACATTTCTAAGCATCCTCAACCTTAACATCTCAAAGGCACTGAAACACCCGCGAACTAGCAATCTGCCGCAGGGACATACTTCTACAAAGCATGCCTCTTAAGAAAAAGAAGAATTCTTACCTTAATCATGTCTGCACGTTTCATCCCCTCATTCAGTTTGGCATAAGATCCCATTTCCCAGCTAAGAGCTAAATTATTTTATTTATTTTTTTTCTTGGTAGAGCTTTTGGAATGAATTGCAAAGAAGTGAGCACTAAAAGCTACATTCTAGTGTCTGTTTTTATGATTCATGTGCATCTCACTAACAGCTGATATATCCTGTGGTGATATTCTGAATCAGAAATCAAATCATTAGGCCCCTTCGAAACAGCTTCATAGTTTTTTTTTGCGAGCTTCAGCCTAAGTATGTTTTTCCAACCTACATTTAAAAGGCACAAGGACTTCTAAGCACAATGCAAAATGACAGGGAAAAGCAGGTCAATGAAAACCAATGTAAGGTTTATTTAATTCAATCTTAAATGAGCCCGTTTTTTTTCTTGCCAAAACCTGCACATAGTTATATTAAAAGTTTTACTTATTAAGGACAAGAAAAGCAATATATCTGCTATTTAAAAAAAAATCCACTGCTCATTGATCCATTTTAACACTACAAGCTGCAGGCTGTTTTACAAATTGTATTGCTGAAACAGAAAAGCAAGTATATTTATTAATAAACTCCTTGCATCAGTTTATGCAAAATTATTTTAAAATAAGATAAGACTGAAAAACCCAGCTTTTGCTGCTGGCTTACATATTTATAAATTCTGATTCTCTGAAACCTAAAATGAGTAAAACAGCTACACAATTGCGGCTCACATTTATATAACTGGAAACTACTTTTCTTTTTAAATCCAATTACTTTTCCCTTTCATAAACTACATGCAGCCTCTTGTACCACTGGAGCCCATATGTGACCTAGGGCATGGATGGAAATAAGGACTCCTTTGCAGGTTTCTATTTTCAGTCTATTAGACACTAGTTATTTCATGATTCTTATCTTATAGTCAAATTGCATGAACAGCCTGATGTTTGATTTTTTGGAATGCGTACTGTACATCTATTTGTTTCAACAATGCATCTTATGTAAGAGCACGAAGCACCTCCAATCCAAAATACATTAAATATTTGCAACAGGAGTCTTGCTTTCATTACAGACAGATGTATGCTTTCCTTATCAAACTCTACTGATATTGCTTAGTCAAAAAAAAAAATCACAGGTTGAGAATCATTACAGCCACTTTGGTCCAAGATTGTGCTCACTCTATGTCAACACATGACGGTTGTGCTTGGAGTCTATAAGTATAACTGCCTGTAATCTGTTTAGCTTTGATTCTGCCGCATTTCATGACCAATTCTGCAATCCAACCAGGAGCCTCAGACCACAAAAGGGACTCGGGAAAATATCCGTTCCAAATGGGCAGTAAATGTAAATCACTTAAATTCAATTCAACAACTCTTACAAAAGGGACAGGGAAATGTCTGCAAATCTAATACATGTTTTTGCAAAAAAAAAAACTATTTAATTCTAAGCACCTTAAAAAAAATCATTGGTAAAGTCTTATGCTAGCCTGGGAGTTTTCATCAAAAAAAGATGTTCTGGCATGAAAGTGCTGGGACTGAACTAAATACTGTAGATTGGTTGTTTTTTACATAAACCACCCTTACTCTCACAAATGGACTTGCAAAGAAAAATGCACAAAATACTCCCACTTGCCCATCTCTGGTTTAAATTGTATTTTAAAAAACTAAACACAAGTTAGGCAGGGCCTTTAAAGGAGTGGTTTAAACTTAGCAGAATATTCCATTATTTAGATTTTGTTTTGTCATCCTTTGACAAAAAGGATGTGCGATGCTGATCAATTACTCCTTCCGCAAGGAAATCTACAACAAAGGAAGCTACTCAAAGAAATCCAACGCCAAATTTAACTGAGATGGAAAAGATGATCCACTCAGCCCAGGTGCTTATTCTAGCCTTACGACTTTGTGTCCATGTGGAGTTGCAAAAAATGCAGATTTCCAAAAGTGTTTTCTCTCAGTCAATAACATTTGCAATGTGTCAGCTATGTGTCTGATGCAGATCAGACCTGAAGCACCAAAATGAACTTTAGGACTGATTCAAGAGCAGTTGGCTGTCTTGCAGTTTTGGGGGGCCAGGATGTCATCAAAAGCCAAGAACAAGAAATATTTTCTTACTTCTCCAACAGAGCTCACCCACAGTCACTCAGCGGTCGAACCTTTTGAGAAAGTTCTCTTCAGGCTAGTAAAAAAGAGTCCTGTCCACATCTACATCCAAGTGTTAAAAAGCGGGATATGTTGGTATACAATTGCAA